GTGCAAGAAAATACCAAAAATCACTTAATTCAATAGAATAAGAAATATTCATTTTTACACATATTTCTTGGATAATTAAGCTTTCCTCATTTTTATTCTCTCTCCCGCGAGAGTCTCTCGTTTTTCTCGAGCGCTTATAATTCGACGGTGGATACGCGATGAAATGCGCAATAATAATTTATGAGAGGGGGGAGTAATTAAGCGTACGAAAAAACGGTCAAAGTATAAAAATAATTCGCCGGTCGGCCTTTGAAATGCCGTGTGTATGTGTGTGTGTATGTGTTATGTTTCGATCATGACTCGCTTCTTCGGAGGGCCTGGCGGCCGTTCGTGCTCTCGAAAAAAAGAGTGTCAGAGAGGCAAAGCCCCGTATATAAAGGGTCGAGCGGTTCTCGACCATGCCTGAAGGCTTCTTAAACGCTCGATAACTATTTTCCCGCCGGCCGGCGATTGTTAAAAAGTGTGCTTCAGGCGTATTTTCCGCAGAGACGCAACCGTAATTCACCGGTGGTGGTGTTTGGCGATTTCACGGTGCTCGTTTCGCGGCAGATTGCGCGCAATTAAAAAAATAGGTATGAATAAAGGGAGGAAAAAACGGCGCAACGGACGAGTCGGAACAGCACGAAATATATATATATATATATTAATTGACAAAAATAAAAGAACGACTGCAAACACGCGAGACTGCAATCACGTTTTCGTGTTAATCACAATGCTGTAAACTAAACGACAGCGAACAAACGGCGCCGGTATGAAATATATTTACAGAGACCGGCCTGGTGCCTATCTCTCTCCCTCTTTTTTTCTCTTTCTCTCACACACACACACCCTCTCTGTGCTGAAACCACCGCGGGCACGCGCATTTTAGAACAACGGTCGAGCAAACGGAAGACACGCAGGAGGAGGCGCGCGTGTGCAGTGGATATGATATACAACGGTATCTCTATATAAAATCCCGCGAAGCTCTTTGTCGTCGTCGCGGTATCCGTCGATTTCCGTCCATCCGGTGGACGGGATATCAGGCAGCTTCTCATCTCGCGGAACGTTGCCTCCCGACCGGAGGCGAAACGAGCCCGACAGTTACCTTATTATTTATCGCGTCATAAAAGATCGCTTATGCGACGACAAACGCGGTGCGGCACTTCTTGGATAGCAAATTTTATTTCCAGACGCGGCGGGACTATCTCTTCGCCCCTCTCTCTCTCTCTCTCTCTCTTTTCCCCTCCTCCTATCAGGCGTTTGCGGTTTCACCACCCGGTGAAGAGGCTTTTTCGCTATTCTGGAGAAAGAGAGAGATACGAGAATGGCGACGGTGGGGTGGTTTTTCTCTTCGCAATCTCCGTGGAAAATAGGGGGTCGGGTTTAGCACTGTTCTTTCCACGCCACGAATTTGCCCGGCGCGCCGCATTACGAAACTCTATCTGTCGAAGTATGCGAAATTTACCCCGTGAGAGGATTATCCTGTGTTGCGCAAGACGTTCCGAAACTACCATGGAACCTGCCCGGTTGCGTGTTTCCTCAGCGAATTGAAGTCAGATTCTTGGTATAAATATATATCGCGAAGTTACTCGAAAAGCACCTTAACACGCATTACAGACTGTTATTTTTGTTTCTTCAAAATTTTCTTCGGGATCGGACGAAGTTTCAAAATAGATGGGAAATTTAAAACAGGTTTACCTTAAGTTGGCTGAAACGCATAAATATACACACACAGTCTGTAATAGATAATCTATTTTTTTTTTATTATTCTTCAGATAATATGAGAGAAATAAGTTTTAACAAAAGTTTTATCCGAATCTGCATTGAGAAAAAATATCGCGCACTGGGGAAAGAAAACTTAAAAATTTATTTACGAAATATAAGGTTTATTTCACAGAAAGGTTTATTTAAATATGGCGAAATAAAATTGTATTCCTAGCAAATAAACCAATTAATAAAAAAAACAGATATATCACACAAAACTATACATTCCGTTATCACAGTCAAATATTTTCTAACCAATAAATATCAATAAAAAAATGTCATAAGAAACATTTATTTCACAAAAATTTCAATATCTTTTTTTCAGTGTGGTATTATGTGGAAAAGAATGCTAAATTCAAATAAATAATTATTCCAACGTTCCTTAGCAAATTTTTAGTTGGATTACACCCCACTACAGAATTGTGTGCAGAATTAACAGCACGAGACTTCCATGAAAGCGCAACGTCCCAGAATGATTGTATCAGTGTCGCAGCTTTGACGTCGCGTTTGACAAGACGCAAAGTCGATCGGACGATCCCGCGACAATGCGAAGTGATCTGTCGCTCATCGATCGACGCAAAATTGGCGTTGCATTAGTCAAGGAACCTGTCGCCTGAAGTTCGCATTGTAAATTGCGGGGGGAGCTTGCGGGTAAATCCGGACCGCGGTGAATAATTCGATCGAAGATCGCGCTGCCGACTGGCGGTGGTTTCACGCTCGAGGAAGAAGAAAACTCGGGGAGAGAAAAATGGAGCCGAAGCGACCACGGACGCGGAGATCTTGTCGAAATGCGGACATTTCGGGAGAGAGGGGGTGGGTTCGCTTTCAACAAGTGGTTCGTGCCATTAGTCGTGCCGAAAGCTCGCACCGAATGTCGATAGCGCCCAGCTTTCCGCTTGCCGCGAGCGTCTCGTTAAAGCAAGTTCTCGCCGATTCTCCGCCGTGTTCCTTGCGATCGGGCAAACAATTTGCGGATTTCGACTTGTTCGTTGCTTCATCAAAGCGTACATCCCACGTTGACCACAAATCCCACGACAAATTTGGAGAGGTAACTCCGCCACTCGCTCGAAAACCTCGATGACAAGGAACCCGTTTGATGAAAACTTCGCGGTTGCGGCGGCGATCACCTCGGCGAGATCAAGTTTCAACTTAAATTTCCGCTTAAAGAGAGCCCGATTAAAATTAACCGGGAAGAAAGACATCGCTTTCCACCCTCGTCCACGAAATTAAATCACATAGCCGTAGGAAATTTACAATCGATAATAATACCCGCTATACATGTACATATTCACATATTCAAATATTTACATTTTATTTCCTATTATATGTGCATCTCTTTTAGCTCAACTGATGTATAAATAAAGAATTAATGAGAAAAATTCAATGATATCTCCGTGTTTGTAATATTGCTTGTATATATATTTGTCTTAATTTCGGCTAAAATTAACACATTTCTTACTTAGTTAAATGGTGCCATAGGAATATTTTTTCAATAAATAAACTTACACGTGGAACCTGTTAATATCGGCATTGCAAATCCGGGCCCCCTACGAACGCTGATCTATTCACGCATGAAGCAATTGAAACAAAAGGTGAGACAGAAACCGCCGCATAACAGGCTGCTCACAATCGGGAAGTGTCCGGATTGGCTAACACGAAACGCGGACTTCGACGGAAGATATCGACCCGTCGTCGTTTAATTATTTTCGTGCGCACGCGAGTCGCGCAACTTCGTGCCCGTTTTGCGGTGTCAATAGTGCCGTCAACCCTCGTGGCTGAAAGCCATTAATTTTAAAGCCACGTCGGAATGCTTATCGGACGCCCGGAAGGGAGAGTTGGACAACTATGAAACGAGCAGACATTCACCGGCCGAACGAATCGCATCTCCGCGGCTCGGAAGCAAGACGAAGAGCCAACGATTCCATTAATAACACGTGGCCGCCCCTCGATCTTCTCGCGTTCGCCAGCCGAGGTCGTTACACCGGCTGCACGCCGAGACCGAGCGAGGAATATTTTAAGGACGAATTCTTGGGAAACGAGGAATTCTCGACAGGCAGTCTCTTACAGATTCACCTGAAAGTTTCTCACAAGCCCGACGAAATAAATCTGGGCAAACTTCAACCGTCCCAAACCTCGTCAGAGAACGCATAATCGAAGATTCGAATGTGACTCGATCATCCGAACGAAATATCTTCCCTCCTCGCTATAAACACAATACTCGTATAATATTGATGGATCGGGGCGTCTCGTGTAGGTCGGCGAATTTGCGAACGGGCGGCGTTACGAGCGCAAGAAATGTCAACTTCATCGAGCGAATCGAATGAGAACGTCGGGAGACTCAATGTGAACGGATGAAATATTCATCCGGCAAACATGCGCACCGTAACGATATTAAAGAGTCTCCCTTAACGTGCACGCGCAAGGATTCGCTTGCTCCGAATTGCCGCAAAATAAAATACAGTAAAATAATAGCCATTCATCAGGCTCGGTGATAGCAGCGTTGCGGTCGGCGGTGCAATTTTCTAAATTGAAATTTCCAGACACAGCCGGCCGCTTTCGTTGCATATTCTAATACATCCTGCACGCGCTTTCCTTACGACCGCGTCTTGCTTCGCCGCCAACGATGCGCGCTTTTTGAGAGCGGGAGAGCGCGCGATCTGGAAATTCGCGCCCAACGAATCGATAACGACGACTTCCGCCGGTACAGACGGCACAACTCCGGATTCAATCTCGATAAAACAAAAAAAAACAAACAAAATGCAAACATTGGCTCGCGGGTTTTGTTGCACCCGGCTGAAAAGAACGAACGCTCGTTTCCCACTCGACGAGTAAACGTCGCGAGCGATCAGCGGGCATGCTCGTTCGCACGCGCAATTCGAAATTAACGAAGGTCGATTCGCTGATCTTTCATCGGCCGAACCGAATGAGTGAAACAAATAATTTCTTTGTAAGAAGATTATCTTCCGTTTGTTTATCTAAGATAAAGATACACATTCGTTGAAAAGTCTAACAATTGTACTTATTGATCGAAGCGTTAGTTTCTTTGCAGTGCGCTGATGATGAAATGTGTGTTCGGATGCGATAAAATTGATTGAACTTGAAGAAATCTTTTTCTCAGTGTAGGAGAGAGAGTGGCTCAATCGTTGCGGTATGTGCCATTTATACGAAGTGAATGTCAGGTGATAAAGGGATCGGTGCAAATAAAACTCTTCAATACGGACTGACTAGTTGCCAAGTCGGAGAAACATCACGCGTACCTATCAGTGGCTGGCTTGTTCTGCGTCGACGATTGGACCACGCCGACGGATTATCGGATATTGATGTGCTGGATTACAGATCGCTGCTGACGCTCCTCGATCTCGCAAATGTTTGCACGGCTGTATCGCGACTGTTTTGCAATTCCAATGTTTTACGCTCTGCGATTTTAATTGTTTACAAAGCTTACTTACGAATGTGCAGGACGCGGAAAGCTTCCCGGAAAAAAGCTCGGGTCTGTAACCAAAGGGAAAACAACGATTATTGCAAGCGTCAATATCCCGCGCGCTCGAACAGAATCAAGTGTTTTATTCCGTCCGATATAAATTGTTATAGCGTTAAGATGAAATAGTTTCCATCGTATTAATTCAAACATTTTTTTTCTATCCTTTTTTGCCCCCTTTTTTAATAGAATTTATAGTTCGAAAAATTAGCTCTTTCATTTTTCCGCCATTTTTTTTTACAATAGAAGAAAAGCTGGTATTAGAGCTTTTACAATTCCTGGCTATATTATTAGACATACTAAATTAATATTTTTCATACGAAAATTTAATAAAATTAAAAATTAAAATTAAATTTCAATTGGCACACATTCAAAACTCACGTCTGTTCCCGTTATTATCAATAATGCAACTAGCAAAAAAACTAAAAAAAATCTGCGAAAAAATTGAGAAAACAAGTGCTTTTCAAGCTTTCGAAACTAAAAACTAGTGGAATTGAACAGCACCGTATGCGCGATCTGAAGGAATAAGCCAAAAGATAAACGAAGTTTATCGGCATTTTCGGCGTTACGAAGCCCAGTTAAGTGGGCGGTAAAGAGACACACAATGTTACAGATAGAAGAAGAAGGAGAGAAGGAACGGGATAGATTACGTAATAGGATCATGCCTCGATGCTTCGTTGGGCAGGTGGAAAAACCCCGGTAAGTAAGCGACGGGCTCTGTCTGAGAGCGAGCTCATGGATCAACTGGCGGAAAAACTGTCCCGCGATTTGCTGGTAAAACAATGTTCCACCTTATATCTCCCGGGATGGACCGTGCAGGTTGATTTTCGTGAGTGGGTCCTCCGAGAGGGGCCACGAACAAATCGAGCGTGAAACGTCGCTTTCTTAGATAAACTATACGAAGAGAAGAGGAAGAATGAAGAGGAGGAGGAGGAGAAAGAAGAAGTCTATCATGCTGTCGTTGTCAGGTGCGATTCTTTTAGATGACGCGAAACGAATCTCCTACTAGGAGCGTGTCCTTTCTAGCGTCGACGTTATATCTGAACGGTTGTGTCACTAACCGCCGTTTCTCGATTGTTACGCAAGATAATAACCGTAAATGTTCCTTTACGCGCATTAAATACCACGATTCATCGATCAATCCGAAGTTGTTCTTTTCCCTCAACGAACATTTATTTAGTCACTTGCTTCTATAATTTTTTGTAATTTTTTGCAATCTTGTTAAATGTCGAACATCACGTAAGTCGACGATTAAACGTTAAATTAATCAATGTTAAATAAAGTTCATGCAAAATCAATGAAGTGGTGAACCGAAGGATTTATTTTCCGGGATTCCGTTTTATTATCGATTGCTCGTGACAAGCATTCTACGCGTTTTGTCATATATCATGACACACGTAACTTTCGAAACCTAAAATATTACTGTAAAAATAAAGCAAAATAGAAAGAAATGTTTCTTTTTTCTTGAAAATATGCACTATCATAAGAGGATATCTGCCGTATCTTTATTTTTTTCACGCTTACCGCTGATGAAATTCAACGAGAGAAGTGCGTGGTTCGGTTCGGTTAACCAGCGGATTACGTAAGGTGAACTTATCAGGCACGTGACGCAAACTTCTCCGAGTAATTGCGAGTAATCACAGCGGCGTTAATGAAAACGTCCTGTGCAAGAAATCTGAAATTTCACGGCGCGGTCTTACGCGAGAAGAGAAACTCATTCCGAATTGCTCGGGAAATTTTATAATTCCATCTCGACAATTCAATCTAAATTAGCGAATGTCATAAGCATTCGTCGGGATCGTTAGTGGCAGTTCACATTACGCTGCGGAAATGAAACAAGAACTTCCTTTTTTCACAATAATAACCTTATTATCATGATATTCTTGTTTGGCGGCATGAATTCAGTGCGAAGATTGCGAGATATCGCCTTATTAAATGCGATACTTATTCCTTAGCGAATCGTACGAATGTCCTTTTTGAGTCGGTAGAGCACAGATATAAATATATCTCTAATCAGAATGTTCCGAACACCTTATTTCCCGACCGATCGGACACTCTGTACAGCGATTAAAAGTAATTATATTCTTGGTATAACAACAAAACAACTATACTATACAAATGATTTTTATACGTAGAAAATGATTAATACACGTGAAATATAGTGAAGAAATAAGTGAAAGAGGAGTAAAAGAGTTACACGAATTAACTCGACCGTTTCTAAAGAACCCAATTATATATCTGACGATAATTTTGAACTGGTCGTTCATTCAGGCGGTCCCTCCACCTTATGTGTCCCGGGAAAGCCGCCGATTAATCTGCGATAATGTCCAATTAACGCCGCACCCTCACGCTTTCACACGACGGTTTTGTGACGTCGATTAGTAAAGCGGTCCTGCCTGGCACGTTACTGGCGCGTTAACGTAACTTGGCTTAAATTACGCTCACAATGGCTTACATTTTCGACACGCACGTGTCACTCGCCAATGACACTCGATTGCCATTATCAACGAGACGCTGTTCTCCCTAAATATCTTTTGCATTATCTTCCGTTTGCATTAACATAATCTCGAGCAGCAATTCTACCTCGAATCGCTCTTTCCTTTGTGACCTATTTTAAGCATCTTTCAGAGAATATCGTCCAAACATACGTCGCGAGGATTTAGAAAAATCGTTTTCTCGATCATTTTCACGGTTAAAATGAAAGAAAAAAGATACTGTTATCCCCGGAAAATAACCGTATTTTTCTCACAATGTAAAGAAGTAAGTTGGCAAAATTTTTTCCGTTGATTTCATAGCCATCTTTGACACGTTTGAAATCTCTACTTGCACGATCCTGTAAGATCTTCTTAGAAAGTAGCGGAAATGATCAATTTATCCCTTTAACCAACCCCTAGCCTCCCCTACTTTACCGCGAACGATAAATTCGCATCGATTTACACTAAGACAAAGTTCTCATCTTTTTAAGCTCGCGATCACGCGCAAATATTCCGACAGTCCTCGCCGATTCGCGCCCCGATATTGCCCGAGCGGACTTCTCGGGGGAACATTATTTCAATCAACCGGTAGCAGGGCGAAAACACTTCGTTATGTCGGCGTTAGAAGAGAACTCCATTATACCTTGCCGCGCGTCGGCCGAAGCGAGGCGAGTACGAATCAATAAGCTTCGTTTACCGCGCGATCACCAGTATATCGCTCGAAGTTTCTCGCCCGTCAGCGTAATCGCGTTCCTTCGTGCGGGGAAAACTCCCCGCACGAGATTAACCGGCGATCAACGACGACAAGGACGAGAAAGTCAAAGGACGGAGTCGAGGAAAAGTCGTCGCGGTCGTTCTCTCTTTCTTTTCATTTCCCTTTTCTCCCTCGAACTGTCGGCCGCGCGAGAGAGGGTTAAAAGGCCTTATTGATTTTCTCTCTCTCTCGCGGTCGCTGTTGCCAAGTTCATATAAGTTCGCGTCGCGCGAGTTTTCCGTCACTATTGCACGCCGGGGTGTAGCGCGTTGAAGAGAAAGAAGGAGAGAGGGAGAGAGAGACAGCGTACGGGCTTTCGTGACGGCCGTCGAAGAAGGGATGCGGCGACATGACGAAGGGACGTTCGACGGAGGTGAGGGGGTAGGGGGTAGGTGTGGCATTCGACGTATTTCCCGCGAGCGGCCGTGTAATTACGTCCTCGTCGAGGCACGCGTGCATACTCTATATATAACGCGTCGGTGATACGAAAATTTAATGTGCTGCTCCCGAGATTGCTGCACCCCCATTATGCCCGCCAACTCTGAGCTGGTCCGTGGTTTCGCGGCGAGTTCAAAGACCACCCTCCCTTTCGGACATCTTGCTCGCTTCGACCGAGGCCCTACTTGATCACCGAAGCGCGGACCCGCTTGCTTGCTTGCTTGCTCGCCGGCCGGCCGGTAATTCGAGACGGATCGATCTCGCTGATTGCGCTGACGGACAGTCGAGCCGACTGATTGGATCCCCGCGAAGGGGGATTAGAAGAGACCGCCGAAAAAATTGCGAAGGTCTGAGAATCGCAATTGGAGGTCGCCTAGGTTGCGAAACGTTTTCGGCGGGCGCGACTCCGCCCGCGGAATCGGAAGTTTCACAAGTCCCTCCTTCGGGATTCGCGGAGATCATGAATGGGCAGAATTTTGCAGTAATCTTCTTTTTTTTTCCTTTTTTTTTTTTTTAAGAAATGTCAAGGTACCGATGACTCTGTTTACTTCTACTTGTGTGACCTTGGAATGGTGTTCTATGCCGAGCCGACACTCGGTAAACGTATTCGAGCGATAATTACCGTAGCGTGTAAGATACTCGGGTTTAACTTTCGCTACAGTAAATATTTGAACGCTATAAGTTCTATACTGTTCGTTGATAAGACTACATCTTGATTGACGTCTTATTGATCCAATCTCTTCATGAAAGTTATTGCTCGATTCTCATCGAACGTGTACAAAATGGATTTTTCAGAAAGATCAGCTTGGAAATTGGGAAAATCCATGCTTATCACCCGCCATAATTATTAAAGAGAGAGAAAGAGAGGGGAAACAGGGAAAACACGAGGAGACTTCGAAATGAAACGCAGCTGTTTGCGTAAGGCAAACGAAGTTGGGAGGACATACAAAAAAAAGCGGTGAATATTTTGTTCGAGCAACAGTGCCCGAATAAACATTCATCGCTGACGCCGTGTGATGTGGCGCGATCTCGTGGAGACTTTGAACTAAAATAAAATGCGGAAAGTCGCGCATCGATGTCTCTATTTTCCCTGCGAGAAGAGAGCGCGTAAGAGGCCGGCACATCAATCTCATCGGCGTTTTCCCCAATGTCGAAGGAGAACTTTTCTTTTTGGCGTGCACGAGCATAAAAGCCGGTCGCTCGAAAGGTCACCCTGACCGTCGATATAAGCTATCCCGCGACGTCGACCTATCGAAATTTCAATATTCGTCCGTTGACGCCGTCTATTGAAACTTCGTAATTACAAGCTAGTCGCGAGTTTTTGCACGGCTGTAAATTTAGGGGCGTC